TATGAACACATTCATCATGGTTTGACAATCAATAATGCACAACATAGAGATCAATTTCATTTGTCAGTTGGAGGCGTTTGTTTTATAAACTGGGGGGAGGGGCGGTGGTGGTGTCATTTCCATACTTGTGTCTTCTAGAAACAACTTCTTTTGATCTAATATCGGCTTAAAAAATCGTAGATTCAGTAGCTCACATTTTTATAGATTAATATGGAGTGAGTTGTGGGTACCACATTTGCACTCAATTTTTATTTTAAGGGTGGGGGACAACATTAACATATCGTTACCAATTTCTGACTTGGGTTTTTTATAACACTATTTCTGAACAAATCTTTACACTGTTGGGCCCATGGAGGTGTCTAGATAATCAGAATCAGAACTAACAACATTATGACAAAAAGACACACCAGCAATCAAAAGCAGAGAAAGCAACAGGGTTAGTCTTCAGAGAGAGAGAAAAAGAATCCACCCCAGTAGGAAATCTGCCACTCATCATTCAAAACATCACCCAAACTCCTAATTTAAAAAAACAACCCAAAACAGACTGACTTCCCTCTTCACTAGAATCTATACACTTCTAATAGTTTAGTTTTAGTTTTAGTAAGATTTCTACGGCACTTGCAAAACAATAATGTCATTTAAGTGTCGAATATTTGGTGTTACAAGAGAGTAACAAACACAAAAAAGGAGGGATCAGGACGATAGACGTTTGATATAAAAGAAAGAGCAAACGCACCAGAGCACCTGCCAAACACCCACCTCTAAAGGTGTTTTTTTTTTTAAGTACAGGGTTTTACGGCGCTCGCAACTGCATAAAGTCATAAGAGCGCTCTAAAGGTTTTACATCATAAGCCAGAGTCTAAACAGCTGCAACACAACCCTGACAAAAGACACCAGCTAGACTTACTGGTGTCATTACATTTCCACAAGCCCAAAGGAAATGTGGTTTCGAATGTAAAACGTGCTAACCCGACCCAGAGGGTGTAAGGAACTCTAGACATGGCCGCGTTACATAAGGCAGCCCAGGGTACAAGTGGTATCACTATCAGCAGAATAAACGTGATTTCAGTCAGGGGAACGGATCCGATAAGACAAGAGTAGAGAGGCAGAACAGTGGATAGAGGAAGGCAGGCAGTCATAGAAAGAAAGAAGGACAGGGTGGAGGGAAAAAATGGCCAACTAGAAGGAAGAGCAGAATGGAAGGGGTGGTAGAAAGGAAGGGTGAAAGAAGGAAAGATGAAAAAAAGGAA